GAAAAAATACTGGAGTAATCAAGATGTTTGAAACCCATAGCTTTCTGGAAACCATGCAGATGGCAGCACAGAGAGGATCCCTAGCCACTCATTTTTCCATTACAGACAGGGTTGATAGATTCTTTTGCAAACATGGTAATAAATTTCTGCATGCCTTATAAAGGGTCCAAAGACTCCATTTATCAGGTCTATCCCCCAGAAATGCTGCACCCTTTGTGCTTGATGCTTATTTCACTTATTTGGCAGAAATCTGTAGTGATTCCACAGTCATCAAGGCAGTGACACTAGTGTAAACCTAGTGTGAGGTTAGAAACAGCCTATCTACAACTGTCATGCTGGGTATGCACTCAAGTATGATAGACCTTCTTTGTGACCACCTGCCATCCTTGTCACTTTCCATTAAGAAGAAAGTTAACACAGGCATATAATTAAAAGGCATAGCCATTTAAACCAATATTTGCCTGTAGCTAAAGGATGTAAAAAATTACTATTTGGTAATCAATTCAAAATAAAAGACTAGCAACACTTTAAAACAAACAGTTTGGGTCCTAGGAAAACAGCATTACTCAGTTATCTATATCTACATCCTACATATATACAATCTACATTAACACAGAGTTAATTATTTCAAAATTATTCACCAAAAAGCCTATATTGGCACTCCCATTACATGCAGTAACAGAGAGAGGAACTCAAAGTAGTGGCTGCTTAGCAGTAGTGTTCATATGTCACTAATGTAGAAGCACTGCATGAAAGCATATTCTCCTATGGTTTGCTATTACATATGTAGACTATCAGAATAAACTGAAAGCAGAAGTTCATCCCCCCAACCTCTAAGTAATGATTTTAATTTAATTAATAAACAATTACCATTGAACCAGGCTGCAATGTACCTACATGTTATTAAAATGTTCTGTATTACTGTAATTACTGAACAGCTGCCTGCCAGTGAAATGGTAGATGTGGGTCACCTGCTCAGTTGATACAATCACCTGATGAGTGTGGCAAAGCTCAGCAGGGTAACCAGGGTAACAACACTAAACTTGTTAAAAATTGCAGTGATAGCTTCCAGCTGGCTACCTCTGACTACAGAAGCACTGTTTTATGACAAAGATGGGGAAAAACCAAAGGAAAGAAAAGCTGGACTTCCCCCTAGTCCATTCTGTAACTGTTCCAATGACCACACAAGAATAAGGCTTGTAAAACTGGATCTGTGGCTAGCCACAGTGACTAATACAGGTCAGAGGTGAGCTGGAGCCAGTTTGCACCGGTTCGCGGGAACCGGTTGTTAAATTTAGAAGCCCTTTGAGAACCGGTTGTCCAACCGGTTCTCAAAAGGGCTTTTAAATTGAAAGTGGCGCCTTAGGTGCTGACTCCGTGCTCCAGCAGCTCCCCACCCCCAACCCCAGCTCACCTCTGCTCCACCTCTGCCTCCTCCCCTGAACGCTCTGCCCACCTTCTCCTCCACCCCCGCTTCCTGCGAATCAGCTGTTTGCGTGGGAAGCTTGGGAGGGCTGAGAAGCAAGCGGCGGCTTCACGCTCAGGCCCAGGGAGGCGGAGACGGAGCAGAGGTGAGCTGGGGCGGGGGTGGTGCGAGAAGGGCCGCCCGCGCTGTAGCAGGTAACCCCCTGCTCCCCTCTAGCTACGCTACCCCACCCCTAGGAGCCAGAGGGACCTGCCGGATGCTTCCCGGGAGCCGCCCCAGGTAAGCACCGCGGGGACTTCGACTCCCCATCTCATCCCCCGGCAGGTCCCTCTGACTCGTAGGGGTGGGGCAGGATGGGCACCCACTATGGTGCCCCACGAGACCCTCCTGCCCGGCCCCTGAGCTCCTGGCTGGGGAGGCTAGTCCCCGGCTGTTCCCCCTCCCCCGCAGCTTCAGCTTGCCCTGCCGCCGGTGCATGATCTGGGCGGTGGGCTGCAAGCTCGGCCTGACCTGGTGCTCCAGGCGCTGCACGGCGGCTGCGTGGCCCGGCTCCAGCCGAGCGGTGTGGCTGTAGTGCCACCAGCCACCTCCCGGCAGCTCAGTAAGGGAGCAGGGAGGGGGTGTTGGATAGAGGGCAGGGGAGTTCGGGGTGGTGGTGGTGGGGTGGATAGGGGTTGGGGTGGTCAGAGGGCGGGGAACCGGGGATTGAATGGGGGCAAGGGTCCCGGGGGGGCAGTCAGGAAGGAGCAGGG